TCAAAGAAAATATGGGAACTGTCAAAATTCTAGTTGTTAGTCTTATTAATCCATTTTGTTATTGGTGGTTTTGTTGCTTTTGAGATGGGATTACTCTGTAGCCCTGGCTGTCTTGGAATTTACTCTGTGTACAGGCTGACCTTGAACTCTGAGATCCACCTGCCTCTTGTTTTTGAAGTGCTGGGATTAAAGGGGTGCACCACTATCCAGTAATTTTATTAAGCTCTATTTTTTCCTTAATTTAATTCACCAGTATCATTTTTTTTAATTATATTTTTCTATTGTGAGGAGGGGGGGCACCTGGTGGTTCTCTTCTTCCATCATGTAGATTTTGGAAGTCAGACCCAGGTTATCAAGACTTGATGCTAAGTTTATTCACAAAGCCATCGTTAGAGCCCTATTTGTCTTTTGTGTATGTATGTGTTTGCACTGTATGGGCACACTTCTTTGCAGGTGCATGTGATTGTGTGTGGGGCCTGACAATACTAAGCATAAGCAGCACCTTTCAGATGTAGTACTATAGATAAGAAATTCTGGTTTCAGGTGGTGGTAGTTGTGTACACCTTTAATCCCAGTACTCAGGAGGCAAAGGCAGGTGGAACTCTTGAGTTCGAGGCCAGCCAGAGGTACACAGTGAAACCCTAGCCTCATAAAGGACAACAAAACAAAAAACCAAAAGAAACAAATTGTGGTTTAAACTACGGATGGTGGCATGTACTTGTAATTACAGAACTTAAGGAGTTGAAGCTGGACTGTAAGAAGTTCCGGGACAGCCTGGGGCTACCTACATAAGGCAAGCTGGAGCTACAGTGCAAGACCCTGTCAAAGAAGTGGGGGGTTTCATGGAGATGTCTCAAGCAAGGGAGCTTAAGTTCTGCTGCCCAGAATCAGATAAATGCCAGGCAGGAGTGACTGTCCACCTGTAATTCTAGCATTGGAAGGCAGAGCCAGGAAATTCCCCTGAGCAAGCTGGCTAGTGAAACTAGGTTTTGGGTAGAGACCTGACCTCCAAGAGTAAGGTGAAAGAACCTTGGAGGAAGACTTCTGACATCAACCTTAGGCCTAAAGTTATTTATGTAAGGTGCAGTGTGGTAGCTAGAGTAGTAGTCCTGTTCATTTAGTACAATGCCAGTATTTTCTCTGTGTCTTGAGTTTTTAAAATTTCAGTAATTGAGTCTCTTAACAGGAAAGATTCAGTAATTTCTTAAAGTTGGATACTTGTTCTTTAAAAAAAATGAGGAAAAAATAAAGTTAGTTTCTATTAAACTATCGTTGGCCACCTGTCTAGTTCTGAATGCTACTGTATCTTTTCTGAAGATATTTTGTAGATCATCCATCCAACTTGGATATCCTGTTGGAATATAGCTTAATGCCTATGTTATATTGTCTCCCTCGGTTCTTGAAAGAATAAGTTAAGTTGTGCTAAAATTATCAAATTGGACTGGAATTTAGGCTCATCAGTTGAGCATATACTGCCCTCCAGAGGATGCAGGTTTGATTGCTGGTACTGTCCTGGCAGCTTGTACTCTAGTTCCAGGGGACCTGACCCTTCTGGCTTCTTCCAACACCAGTTATGTGTATGGTGCACATACATGTAGGGAAACATTCATACATAGAATAAAAACAAATCTTTAAGAAAGTAATAAAGGGCTTGGGTGGTGGTTGTTCACTCCTTTAATTCCAGCACTCTGGAGGTAGGAGGCAGGCAGATCTCTCTGAGTTTGAGGCCAACTGGTCTACAAAGTGAGTTCGAGGACAGCTAGGACTGTTAAACAGAGAAACCCTGTCTCAAATTAATAGAGGGACCAAGTATGTTAGTATATACATTTAATTCCAGCACACAGTCAGACAGGAAGATCCCTGTGAGTTCAAGGCCATCCTAGTCTACACAGCAAGCTCCAGGATTATAATACAGAGATAGTCTCAAAATCATCATCATCATAAAGGGACTAGAGAGTTGGCTTAGCAGTTAAGAGCACTTATTCTTCCAGAAGACCCAGGTTTGATTCCCAGCACCCACAATGGTGTCTCACAGCCATCTGTAACTTCAGGGGCTCCAGTGTTCTCTTCTGACCTTTGAGGGCACTATGCACACACATGCAGGCAAAACACTCATATACATAAAATTTTTTAAAGCTAATTTAAAAAATCAAATTAACTCTTTAAATTTGAGGCAGGTCCTCATGGAACTTGTATTGGCCTCAAAGTCACTATGTAGCCAATGATGGGTTTTTAAGTTTTATTTATAGCCAGGTGTAGTAACCCACACCTTTATTCCCAGTACTTGTGGACTAGAGATAGATGAATCTCTGAGTTTGAGGCCAGCCTCATCTATACAGTGAGTTCCAGGATGGCCAGGAAGTGACCCTGTCTCAAAAAGAAAACAAAAATAGAATTATTTTTATTTTATGCTTGTGTTGTTTGCATGTATGTATGTGCACCATGTGCATGTGGTGCCTGTGGAGGCCAGAAGAGGTGTTCAGATTCCCCCAGAACTGGAGGTCCACATGGTTGTGAGCACGTTAGATGGGTACTGGAAACCAAACCTGCGTCCTCTCTTAAGAATTTTTGTTTTGTTTTAATTTCTTTGGGTGTTTTGTCTGCATATATGTCTCTTCTCTGTACCACATACATACAGTGCCCCTGAGGTCAAAAGAGGACTTTGGAGTCCCTGAAACTGGAGCTACAGGTGGTTGGAAGTTGTCATGTGAATGCTGGGAATGGAACTTTTCAACCACCAAGCTATCATCTCTACAGCCCCTGAACTCGAGCTTCCAATTGTCCTGCTTCTACCGCTCAGATAATGGGATTATAGGTGTAGGTAGGTGCCAGTAAACCTGACTTTGTGTGTTGCTGGTGCTGCTGAGTTTCGAATTTCCATCCCTGTGTGGAATCATTGAGACACATAGCAAGACATTCATTCCCTCCCTCCCTCCCTCCCTCCCTATCTCTCTCTTTCTCTTCTTTCTCTCTCTTGACCTTGCTTGTCAGGTCTCCAGAGGCTACCTTAAAATAAGTTGAGATATGATAAAACCTCCAGTGCAGCTTTATTTCTTCCCCCGATCTTCATATTCAGTCTCAGTTTCAGTGCCTTCAGAGTCTAGATTCTTACAGAGGGGATCACCTACTGGACTCCCTATCTTACAAGATAGGACTCTTAATCTTCAGGGACTGACAGTGGCTTTTCAGACTTGCTTATTTCCCTGGGTCCTATTTTCTTTCCACTTTTGATATTTTCTTTCCACTTTTTAATTATTCTTTTCTGACTCAGAAGACCAACAAGGAAGAACAGAATGTGCCTAGTATATTCAAAGCCCTTGGGTTTAACTCCTAAGACCACCCCTAATGCCACTCTTTTCTTTCTTTTTTTTAGGGGAGAGATTGCTTTTCGAGACATTTTCTCTGTGTAGCTCTCTGGCTGTCACCCCTAATGCCACTTTTTTTCTTTCTCTTTTTGGGGGAGAGATTGCTTTTCGAGACATTTTCTCTGTGTAGCTCTGGCTGTCATGGAACTACCTCTATAGACCAGGGTAACCTTAGACTTATCAGTGATCTGCCTGCCTCTGCTTCCAAGCGCTCCACCACACCATGCCAGTGCTGCTTTAAGAAAAGGCAAGTTTGTTTGACTAAGATTGGGTTTGTTAGCCAGCGGTAGTAGCGCTTTTAATCTCAGCACTTGGGAGGCAGAGGCAGGCGGATCTCTGTGTGTTCGAGGCCAGCCTGGTCTACATGAGCTAGTTCCAGGACAGGCTCCAAAGCTACAGAGAAACCCTGTCTCGAAAAACGAAAAAAAAAAAAAAAAGATTGGGTTTGTTTCTTTTTCTTGTTTTGTGGTACCAGGAACTGAATTTAAGGTTTTGCAGATGCTGTGTAAACTTTTTACTAAACTATTATCCCAGCCCTTGTTTGACTGAATTTTGATTTTCTAATTTTCAAGACAAGCAAGTGCAATTGGACTTTCCCTGAATTTTCCACAGATGTGACTGGTTCTCTACAGCAGTGCTTAGTTAGGTACTTTCCTAACTTTTAGGTTGCTTTTTCTTCGTATGTAGTCCTGCCTGAGGAGTTAATACAGTCTGACCACATTACTCAGACTTTTGTGTGTTTGTTTGTTTGTTCAGTTTTCGAGACGTGGTTTCTCTGTGCATCCCTGGCTGTCCAGGAACTCACTCTGTAGACCAGATTAGCTTCAAACTTGGAGATCTGCCTGCTTCTGTCTCTCAAGTGCCAGGATCAAATGTTGTTTGTTGGATTCTACCATGTGGGTCCTGAGGGGTGAACTCAGGTCCCTAGGCTCTGTGACTGTCTCACTCTCGTGCCCCCCCCCCCCCCCCCCCCCCGCGCTCCCT